ATTAAAATTATTTTTTAAAAATATATTTAATAATAGTTAACTTTAAGAAAATTTATATGATTTTATTGTTTATAGATCTCATCTTGGTTGTTGAATAATTAATAATATGTAATAGATCCATTTAGTAAAATAAAAATAAATAAATAATATTAAATTTTCTCTTTTTTTTCAAATTATTTTTTAGAATTAAAATTAATTTTGAAAAAAATTATTTAGTAATAGTTAGCTTCAAAAAAACATATATGATTTTGTTATTTATAAAGCTGAATTTTTTTTATTAGTATTAGATAATTAATATTGTGCAATGGATCCATCTAGTAAAAAAAAAAAAACTAAATTATTTTTTTCAAAATTAATTTTAATTCAAAAAAAAAATTAAAATACTTAAAATAATATCATTTTAAACATTTCAAACAATAGTCTTAAGAACACATTGCCACCAACCTAAAATTCTAAACTTCTTTTCCTCTTGTTGGCATAACTTTTATGTCTATTTTGAGCTATCTTCATCCCCATTCTAACTTGGTTTACAACATTAGTAGTTTGCTACACCATCTCGAGTCCAAGCATTTTTCTCTCACCAACATCAGCCCAATGTAGTGGTGATTGACATTTTCTCTCATACAAAGCTTCGTATGGTGACATTTCGATACTAGCTTGATAACTATTTCTATATGAGAATTTAGCCAAGGGTAAGTACTTCTCCCACTTCGCAGACCAATCTAAAACACAAGCCCATAACATATCTTTGATAATTTGATTCACCCTCTTGGTTTGTCCATCAATTTATAGGTGGAAGGCTATGTTGAATTTTAGATTCATTACTATGACTCGGTGTAAATTCTTTCAAAAATTTGATGTAAACCTTAGGTCTTAATCGGATACAATAGACACAAAAATGCCATGCAACCTCAAAACTTCATTTAGGTACAATTCAACATACTATTACATTGCTTATGTTGATTTCACATATAGGAAATGAGCTGAGTTCGTCAATTGATCCATAATCACAAAAATGTCATCTACCCCTCTTTCGGACCTTATTAACCCAAAATTAAAATCCATCGTTATGTGTTCCCACTTCAATTCTAGTATGCCTAACAGACCTCGGTAGACCAAAATGTCTTTAGTGCTTGGCTTTAACTAGTTGGCAAGTCAAGCACTTAGCGACGCATTTGGTAACATCTCTTTTCATTCTCTTCCACCAATAGACTTTCTTCAAGTCCCTATGCATCTTTATACTACCTAGATGCATTTTATATGGTGTAGCATGAGCCTTTCTTAAAATATTTTGATGTAATTATGTTACGATAGAAGCATACAATATGTCGCGATAACACTAGACGCCACAATCATCAACAACTAGGTTTGATTTCTGCCCTATTTCCATTTTCTATCGAATTTTAGTCAAGTTAATGTCTCATAATTGTTCCTCTTTAATTTTCTATCTCAAGTTTGGTCCCAAAATCATAAGCACACAATAGATTGCTATTGTCGCCTCTCGACAAAGTTTCTAATCTTAGCCTTTCTATGTCGTTGATGATTTTTGCTTGCATTGCAACCTATGTCTTTTTGCTTTTAACATTGGCTATCACATTTGCTTTTTTAAAGTGATAATAAAAAATAACATAATCTTCTAACACTTCAAGCATGTCCATTGTCACATGTTCAACTCTTTTTGTGTAAAGATATATTTGAGACTCTTGTGATCAACATAGATTTCACACCTAGCTCTGTACAAATAATGTATCCATACCTTTAACATAAAAACCATTATTACTAGTTTTAAGTCATACGTAGGATAGTTTTTTTTTTTTTTTGTAGTCTTTTAACTATCATGAGGCATAGTGCAATTACCCCGCCCGTCCGCATCAAAACAACCCATAGCCTAATCTTCGATACATCGATGTAAACTATGAAATTTTCGTTATCGCATGGAAGAGCTAGAATTGTTATCACAATCAATCTAAATTTCAACTCTTATAAACTCCTTTCACACTCATCCTCCCACACAAACTTGGTGTTCTTTCTCATCAACTTGTAAGTAGAGCTATAATTTTTGAAAACCTCTTGGTAAACTTGCTATAAGTAACCCACCATGCTAAGAAAACTCTATAATTCTAACATGTTTTTTTTATTAATTCCACCCATGCACTACCTCAACCTTATTAGGATCTACCATAACCTCATCCTTAGAAATAACATGCCCAAGGATGCGTGCTCAAGCCAAAATGCATACTTTTTAAATTTAACGTACAATTTGCTCTCTCATAAGGTTTGCAATGTCAACTTCAAATATTTTGCATGCTTTGCTCTATTATCGAATAGATCGGATCATAATATCATCAATAAAAACAATGATAAAACTGTCTAAGTGCTTATGGAAGACTTGGTTCATCAAATTCATAAACACGATCGGGGCATTGGTTAGCCCAAATGGCTTTACCAAAAATTCATAGTATCTATATCATATTTTAAAGGTTGTTTTCTTCACATCCTTCTTTCTAACCCCGACTGATAATATCTAGATTGCTCGATGAAAAGAGTGATGCGGTTTGAAAAAAGGAGAAGCTATGGCTAAGATACATTAAGCCATTCGAAGCCTTAGAAATTTTTAGAGATATGGCTTATCGTTTGGCTTTGCCTCCATCTCTTATTATGGGTGCACAATGTCTTCCATGTGTCTATGCTATGAAAGTATGTTGAATACTCGAGCCACGTTTTAAAATTGAGCCAATGGAATGGAAATCGGATTTAAGCTACGAATAAGGGCTTGTCCGAATTTTAGGCCAAGAGGTTAGGAAATTAAGAAACAAGAAAATTCATTTGGTTAACATCTTGTGAAGAAATCATAACATAGAAAAGGCAACATGGGAAATAGATGCTAAAATGAGGGCTAAATATCCCAAGTTATTTGAGTAAATTAATTTCGAGGATAAAATTTTTATAAGGAGGAAAGGATGTAACGGTCGAGATCTTTGTATATAACATATACATGTGTGCATGTGACTTATGTGTGTGTCATGTTGTGTGTTTGCGTTATAAAAAATTTTCTATGTCATGACATGCCATTTTACGTCGATGAAAAACTCGTTATGTTGTGATAAAAGATTTTTGTTGACAAATATGATTATGTCGGACATGCAATTCTCGTCGAAGAATTATCATATCTTAACATGCAGTTTACTTATGTGTTGTGTTTGTGTTGGGGGGGGGCATTAAGGGACCTTAGTGTGATGAATAAAAAACCTAGGGCTTAAGAGAATTAAGTGGACAAGTGAAGGGTCGAGCTTTTCCTTTAAGCATCCGGTGGCATTCTTTCCAGCTTGATTGAATAAAGAAGCAATTGTTGTCACCTTCTTAGGATGGCATGGATTGGTGGAAAAAACATATGCAAACCTAGAATTAATGATGTTTTTTTAATTGCCTAAGTGTTATAAATAGGAAGAAAGTTATCTTGGCCTAGGTTTTGGTCATTTTCATTTTAGAAAGTTAAGAATAGGTCGAAGAGGGAACTCACCGTTCGAGAGATAGAATTGTCGAGAGGAAATTATGCAGTTTTGACCGAGAGAAAAACAAAGTCAAAAGTGAAGTCTTTAAGGGTTTTTGAAGTGTTTTTTTATCAAAAGCTACATCTAAGATAAGTGTTAACCCAACTAACCACAAAAGCATCTATAGGTTAGGTGTTGATGTATGTTTCGATGCATACTTAATGTAATTGTGAATTGTTTTATGTTATTGTGTATTTACTTGATGTCTTGCATTTTTATGGTGTACTCATGCCATGGACATATTTTATCATGATTCAAGTGTTCAAGAGAGGTTATTCGAGTGTTTAAGAGAGACCACATAGGTAATGATCTAATGCATACTTTATGTTGGTTCTCAATTAGATTGCGCCTAGTTTTCAATGTTTTCATCAAGCATGATTTTAAAATAGATCCGAATCAAACATTCAACAAGACATGTTTGAAAGAGAAAAATAAATTTCGTCACAATTAACAATCTCATGCATAGTTGCATTTATTGGGCCTTAACTCACGCTTTGCCCTATGATGTATGTGAGCATAACGGGTCTTAAATGCAAAGTGTCACGTTAAAGATGTTGCTAGAACCATTTTGAGTTTACTAAAAAGTATACTATAGACTTAGGTTTAAAGTTCATAAGTTAAACAATATCAATATATGATATGTTGTCATGTTTTAATTGTAAAAAACAAGCATATATTGAACCATTTTGTGTGTGTGTGTGTGTAAATGAGTTTGAAGTCTTATAAAATAGCTTTACGTTGACAAAATTTATGTTGGTTTTAATTATTTAGAACTAAAGCCGCCATAGCTTAAAACGAAGCCTTTGAACTTTAAACGAAAAGTATTTTCTCTCGTGCATTGCATGTCCCGTACAAGGTCTCATGTCATAAGTCATCGACACACATTTGATGTGAATAGACCACTCGTCAAAGTGCACCTAGCCTCTCTCGGCCGAGCGTGTTGCAACAACATCCAATGCTCTATGAACATGCAATGTCGTCGTAGCACTCCTAGCCTCTTTTGGGTTGCTAGTGCTATATCGGACATAACAAAGAAGAATAAAATTTGTCTAAAAATTAATAGTTTGATATTCAAATAACCTAAATTGATAATATATGTCTTCTTTTGCCACAACCCCAATAGTTTAGGAGTAAATTATACCATTAAATCACCAATGAATTATTGCACATGATAATTTAAAAGAAAGAGAAAAAGCAGACGCATCAATGGCTCTAAATGTAGAAGATTCATGGCATCTTATTACGTTAGTGGCTGAGGGAAGATTAAATGGCTACTTCAAGTCGCTTCACATCATTCCGGTAATCTTGTTGGACAAAGAGTGGCTCTTTTGATGGAGGAAGACAACACTACCAAAGAAACAGATTACACCCACCAAATCTCATCTCTAACAAAAGATCACGATGTTCAAACTTCAAATGCCATGATGAATTCACAAAACTCACCTTTACATGCCCAACTTTCTTCGGCCTCGCGGGTTAGATTTAGAGGCAATACTGGAGGAACTTGGGTACATGGATTTTCCTTGGTTATTCAACAGGTCTCACAAAAAAGGTAACATTATTGGATTATTGGAAGTCAGGCGTCTGAAAGTAAACCATGAAAAGAATAAACGTCCCAAAGCACATTATGGAGGTTGATGTATAGTCACTTATCTATAAAAATATACACACCATTTCGCCAACTAACAATAAAGTGGACTTTCCGTTTCTTCTTGATTTTTTTTTTTTTTAAAAAAAAACATAATACCTTTGACAGAAAGGAGGCCTAGTTGATTCTGAACAATAATAATTAAAAAAATAATAATAAAAAAAAAGGCATGATTCCATGTTAGGACTTACAGAGTAAATAATATCAACAAGTTTAAACAAAGGTCCCCTTCACAACCGTTTGATGACTAAACAAAATTAAGCTGAAATAACCTAACACAATTTTCTGAAAGGCAAGAATTATCTTTCTTCAGTGGGCACAGCAAAAGGTAAAATGAGTTGATGCATTTGGATTCTTGGAGGTACGCTCTTAACTTTACCTGTACCCATAATTGACCTGGACCATCATCACAAGTTCCAGTATCAATTACCTCAATCAAATCCAGTTGTTAATCTCAAACCAGCCGAATAGTACAAGTATAGTTATAGATTTCACCCTCTAGATGCAATCAGAAGAGTAATAACCCGCACAAAACCCAAGACAAACAAGTGATTGATACGTGTAAATCAGACTGAGTGTTATTTACATGAAACATGTAAATAAAAAGTCCTTTTGATCCTTCCCAAACTTTCCTTACACCAATCAATTCCCCCACCATCAATCAAACTCACAAGCATATGAATTTAAGACAAAAACAGCCATATAAGATTTACAGAACAATTTAAAAGGTAGAAGGAGAAAAAAAAAAAAGCAACTGCTACGAGTATTTCAGAGTATGGATTCCAGTAAAGCTATTCTAGGATAAGAAGGAAAGAAAAAGCCCACCTGCTGTTCTGTTATAACCAACAAGTAATGGACATCAGTAATGATGTAGGACCAGCCTCTATCCTCTCTTCTCATCTTCTTCCCCGCCACCCCAATTTTTTTTTTTTTTTTTTTCCTTATCATTTCCTTGAAAATTTGAAGATTTGATGAAATGAGGACACGAAACAATATGCACTGACGCAGGCACCGACTCTTAAAAAAGAAGAAAAAGAAGAAGAAGAAAAACAAAAACAAATAGCTATAGCCAAATCTATGGCAACCACCAGACAGTGGGCCAAAAAAAAAAAAAAAACCTAAAAACTCCTGTGCATTTGTAACTTTTGCTTCACAAACTTGATCAGCTAATATGTTGACCTTCAGCCTATTTTCCACACAGCTACTAAGCAATAGGAGGGTCGATTATCGTTTCCTGCAACGTGGGGAAAAAAAAGAACCATGTGTATATCATGCAGATAAAGAAAATCCAATAAAATCGAAAGATCAAGATATAGCTGCGCTAACCTTGTCACAAACAGGACAACTTTCACTTCTTTCCATCCATTCAAGAATGCATGAAAGATGAAAGTGATGCTCGCATTTTGTGGTGAGTTTTGGATTCTCCAAATCATACTCTGCACAAGAGGTGGTAAAATACAGCTAAAACAACAAAATATGGAAGCAATTTCACTTCCATAAGAAGCCACACACATGCAATTAATGAAAGGATTTAGTAAGGGCATTATACCTTCCAGACAGATGGGACAATCCTCCTCATCTGTTGCTGAAACAAGAGGCTCAAGTGACTTTGAAAGCCCAATTTCTTGCTCCTTCGCTGAATCGAGTTCTGAATTGATTTGTGCCTTGCAGTCCAACTCCGTCACATCTTCACACTTGGATGAAGTTTCCCAAGTATTTAAGCCAGTGATTTCTTGTCTAGAAACAGAATTTGTTGTTTGCAAAGCTCCACCGTTCTTGTCACCACAAGTCTCTCTAGCCCTTTGCGGGGTTTGAGGACGTGCAACCACCACATCAAATGGCATAGGTGCAGGAGGAGGTCTATAAGCATCAGGCACTGATGTGTCCAGGTTTGTATCAACCAAAAGTCCCGTGGATAGGACAGACCCAGCTGCATGATGAGATGACAACGGGACATGCTCATCTGGTGCTCTCGGGTACTGCACACCAAGCAAGAAGACCAGATACAACGTATATAACAAAAGAGTAAACCTAGACTCTCTAATTAACCAAATCTATTTTGATATCAAGGCTAACAACAGATTAACCATAATGCCTAGAAATATTATCCAATTTAGCATCAGCAACATGATATGACGACGAGAAAAATGATTACTAACACAAAAAACATCTCTAAACGGTCTTACAACCACATCAAGCACAACAAGGATAGTTAATGCCAATAAATCCATCACTCAATTTCCGGAAGATTAAAGCCATCAACACACCAACTGATACCTCATTCATCGAATCGACTTCTCTAATAACCTAAACGAAGCCACGTCATTGAACATAAACAACAGCAGCTCATGAATCATTTGCTGCTACTTGCCTACTACTCATCCTATCACATAAAATTCTAATTTGAAGACTAAATAAAAAAAAAGGGCAAGAGATTGATTGAACTAACATAATAATAAGGCGGTGCGCTATTAAATTGAGCAGCTCCTTTAGAGGAACCACAGCAACAACCTCCCATACTATGTTCTTCTTCTTCTTCTGCTACTACTTATCTCTCCTCCACTGCTTCATCAAATCATCAACGTTTGCTTCTTCTCTCTTTGTTCTCCAATCATCAACTCTGTTTTCCACAATCAACGAACAAACAACACAATTATTATAAATAACCGAATCAAAAAATTATCTAGAACCCTAAGAAAAATGAAAATCACCGAAGCAAAAAAGTACTGATTGATTGAATAAAAGCAAAAGAGAAATACTGAAAATCAAACAATCTGTAGGTATTTGATTTGAGCTCCAATAAGAGAGAGAGAGAGAGAGAGAGAGAGAGAAGTAGGAGAGTAGAATTTGTTGTACCTGAATTGAGAGAGGGGAAGTTGGTGGGATGGAAAGAAAGAATTTAGGAATCGGAGAGAGAGTGAGAGAAGTTGAGATTGGAATATTGGTGGTATTGAGGAAAGGAAAAGACGCTTACGGAATTTGTTATGGTTTCTCTTTTTTTTTCTTTTTTTTTTATTATTATTATTGGGTAGAGAGAAGAGGAAGAAGGGGTGCGGTTTCGTGTGCGAGAACGACTTTTACTGAAAATGAAGCACTATTTTTCACTACTGTCTTATAGTTGTTATTATTGCTACATGACATTAATAATATAAAAAAAGAAATCATCATAATTTATAAAATTAATATTTTTTTAAAATATAAGAGAGAAAAAATTAAATATTTTATTCTAATGTGTATTATATCATTTAACGTTTTTAATTTTAAAATTTTTTTATTTTTAAAAACATTATCTGTCATTAGGATATCATTAAGCATTTTCGTCTAGTCCTAAACCTAGGCTGCTGCTGCCATATAGTCTATGAGAGAATAGTTTAAAAAAGTATAATTAATTGCTTATAATATAGTAAAGTACTTGGGATGGGGTGGGTCTAACGCTCTTGGTAAACGCTGTGGAATTCTACTCGCTTTGCTTCTTGTACACCTAACCTTACAACTATCAAAACAAAACAAAACAAACTGGTGGAATTTTCGTCTTCTCAAGTTTCTTTTAATTTTCTCCCTTGATTTTTCAAATCACATCAGGGACACTTATTTGATATGCAAAATTTAGCCTAAAGTTGGTTCGGGTCAACAATGTCATGAGTGGCCGAGCTTAAAAATACTAAAACAATAGTGAAAAATAATAATTGCAACATAATTAGCTTTAGTTTAGATATTCATGTTATTACATATTTTTGTATGTACATTTTTTAGTTTTTTCTATTCAAGTGACTCAATTTTTATTTTTTCTATTTGAATGAAAATTTTTAAAATAAATAAATAAAATAATCAAGTGTTTTTGTTAGATTTATGTTGATATGATCATTAAATTGACACATCATCATCATATTGACATCTCAATCACGTGAGCATAAATATTTTACTTTATTTATAATCGAATGTTTGTATTTTTATTTTTTCTACTTGAGTGGATGTATTTTTATTATTTTATATTTAACTATATATTTTTATTATTTGAGATCCGTACTTTTTAAAAAAATAAAAAATCAATGAGTGCTATTCATTTTGAAATTTAGCAGATATCCACTTTACAATCTTATGTAGGCTATAAACTAAGCCAAGTTAACTCGAATTAGAAATTAAAACAACAAAACATGTAAAAATTTATTCAAATTAAATCAACATTAATAATAAAAGATGCCAAAAAATAACTTTGTATTGACAATAACTAACCAATTAAGAAAATAAATAATAAACAAAGTGACAAAATAACTACAAAATTGTAGGGTTTTGATGAAGATTGGTGTAGAATTATAAGTGTGCATGAGAGATCAAAGATTTTATTGGAAAATTAGAAATATAAAACTGAATTAAAAAAATCAGTTTTGTTGTGTGATGAATTTGCTAAAAAAAAAATTTATCTTTTAAAATTAGTGGTGTAAATTTGTTTGGTTGTAAGAAAGCGAAGGAAATTAAGTAATCTAATTTTTTGTTATTTTGATGAGTCATGTTTTATTCTTATTTTCTTTAAATTGAATAGATTGTTATTACTCGTTGAGTTTTATTTTTAAATTTTAATTAATTTCGTCAAAATATGGCTAACATACAAAGTCAATATTCATTAGATTTCAAAATCAATATCAATAATTGAATAAATTTATAGAAGGAAATTGAGTAATCTAATTTTTTGTTATTTTGATAAGTCATATTTTATTCTTATTTTCTTTAAATTGATTAGACTATTATTGTCATTGTTAGCACTCAAAAATTGCCCATTTATTTTTCTTTATTTTTCAAAAAAAAAAAACGAGAGAAAAAAATACAAAAGTTAGAAAATAATTAGGGGATGTAACCGAAAGAAATTGGATAAAAAGGACCAAAATAAAACAAGCCTACAAGATGAGGAACCAAACTAAATTTTAGTCAAAACCCTAAAAATCAATATAAAAACCCCACTTTCTCACCCTCACTCGGACACACCCTCTCTCTAAAAATCCGAGCAGACCTTTACTCTCCCTTTGAAATTCGACCAACGACTCTCCGATCGCACTAGCAATAGCAGCCACCAGCGGTCGACATCCTTCCACGCAACAATAGCCCTCAATCATGCTAGCGATCGATGTCCTTCCATACAACAGTAGCCCCTTCAATCCAATAGTAACGTCATTCAATCCGAGTTGTTCATCCACTCAATCCAAGCAACGACAACGTCCTCTCACTTCATCCAACAGGATCGCACGATAGCCACCATTTGATCCGGACAATTTAGACCGATAACGCCGTCCGATCCACTCGATCCGAGTAGCGACGAGCATCCTCCCACCTAATCCAACGACATCGCATGACAGCCTATTGTCCAATCCAGACCATATATCCAAGACCACCACTATGGACGACCACCGCCAACCGTTCAACCTCAAATCCAATCACTAATAGTCACCTCGCCTCATACTCGGATCTAGATTTGACAATACGCACATGTCCTTCCTCCCCGATTGATCGAATAATTAGTCTCTATCGAGATTAAAAAGGTCAAATCCGACCCCATTTAGACGATAAAAAAAATTCATTCGGCCTTTTTTTTTCAATAAGTAATTTATCCTTAATGCTTAAATTTTATTTATATTAAATTAAATTTATATTTGTATTTGTATTTGTATGACTATAAATTAATTAAACTACCGGTGTGATTTACTAATTGAAGTGTTTGAAATTCATCATAGTGTATCGAGCTTACAAAAAAGGTCGAAGACCACGGGTAATATAGAGGTAGAATAAGGGATTGATTATTCTAATTATCTTTGTTGTTCCCTGTGTGTAATTGAATTGTGTTGTTCCGAACTTCGTTTTTGGACCATTTTTGTCAATGGTAATATTAAATTGATCATACGCTAATTTGTTTAAAAAATATGATTCTTGAGTCGCGCCAATCCAAACCCTATTTTTAGATCATTTTGTCGACTATAATAATTAATTTTGATATTGTCATCAATTTGCCTAAAAATTATGATTCTTGAGTCGCATCAATTCAAATCATGTTTTTGGACCACTTTTTGCTAATTCGATGGTTAATTTGACACTATCGTCAATTTGCCTAAAAATATAATGTTTGAGTTGTGTCGATTCGAACTTCTATATAGATCATTTTTGTAAATTTTGCCTAAAATGTCTTCTTGAAAAACAAAATTATGACTTTAAAGTCATGTTGATTTACACCTAGGTTAGACCGTTCATGCCAACATTACCTAGCATGTCAATTTTACTTGTCAAATTTATTTTTCACACATTTGAAAATCATGACATTTGAAGTCATGTCGATATAAAAACCCTATTTTTGGATCGTTTTTGCCAATTTCAATGATTTTTGTTGATTTGCCTAAAAAATTGGAATTTGAAGTCACATTAGTCTAAATCCTATTTTTGGACTATCTTTGCTATTTTTTTTTACTATATACTTTTACCATATCTATTGTGTGAGTTTTGATTTTAGATTTATTATGTCTTAGAGTGAGGATAAGGCCTTTGACCTGGTCAAGTTCTAAATCACTCTCCCAATTGATAAAAATTCAGAAATAGGTATAGATTTTCATCATAAAAAATTAGAAATCAAGTTATATTTGTATGCAATGTAGCTTACCATAAGTAGGATGGAGTATGATGATTTTTCATCTTCTCTATAAGTAATAAACCCTTATCTAGAACTTTGAACAGATCCGACCATATGGTTTCATAATAACCATAATACTAGGTGGTGACTTTATTATTTTTGCCCATTTTTCATTTCCTAAAACCGTCACTTGGCCTCGACGTCATCTTATGACAAATTGATGACTCCACTCGGGGATCCACACTTAAGGTTGGGCTTTGCATAAATTTTTTAATTTGATTTCGATATTGATGAATTTTTATGCTTGTATGCCGATTGACATAATTTGCCTATTTTTAAATTCATGCCTTTTGCCATTGTTTGCCTTTTTTTTTTGCCCTTTTATTTTATTTTATTTTATTTTATTACTTTAATTTTTGTTTTTATTTTTATGTTAGGGACTCGAATGCGGAATAGTGCCCATGCACACACTACATTCACCATTATTATTTTTGTTCTTTATCGGACACTTGTCTAAAGACGTAGGGAGGGTAATAATGGTGTCTTGATAGGTTTCGTCTTGGGTAAACACTCACGAAATCTTAACTCTTCTTGCTTGTTGCTATCATGTAATGGGTAATCGATGCTTTTTCATATTTATCAATCATCGCCTTTAGCGCATCCAATGATTCTATCATGATTTGCTAGGTTTGAAAAGCCCTATTTGAGACTTAGATAGTTCTTATCCCATTCACGTAATGACTTAGAACTAAATCGTAGGATTCTACCTAGTAAATGTCACAGGTAAGTCAAATTTAAATGAAATCTTAACTAGAACAATTTCATCATGGTATTTCGGGATGAGTAATAAAAGAACCAACATGCATTTTAAGATGGCTATCGATTGAATGAAGGAGATTGTCTAACAAAGG